GTGTTAGTAGGCATGAGAAGTGCCTTGTGAAATATTTTCAGCCCAAATTCACCAAGAAAAATGTCAAGGACTGGTCCAGAATGATTGCTCTATGCAAAATGTACTTTTATTGTGGACTTTTCAAGTTATACCCAGTGCAAATTTATTTGCTATCATGCTATATCTCAGGCATTGTTTAAAAGACATTCTGAGTCTCCATGGATCAACTCAAAAGAATGGTAGCATTTTTTCTTCTTTCAGAAAAGAAGGATCAATGTTGTAGATACTTGTTTACTTCCAGAAAAACTCTAAAAATTAGCTTCTACAGACATCATGCAATGTTCATTTTGACATTTCTACCTACCTTTTGTATTATACACACTACAAACATTGATGGGGAGTCATTCCACCTCAATCCAACAAATATATTGGGTGAAAAATACATAAAATGGAAAACAAGTTCAAATTTACCTTTTAGAGGAGGATATAAAATTTCTGGCCCAGAAACCTTATGTAGCTCATAACAATAGCAGGGAGACCCAGTGTTCAAAATATCTCTTCCTCAAGTTGTAAATTGCTTCCAGTAGATTGCAGTCATTCAGAATTTCCCATCCCATTTTTGGCACTTGTCACAGTTAATTCCCTGCCTTATCCTGAGTTTTCAATTGTTCATCCCCAGACTTGGTATGTACAATCTACACTATGTTAGCTATGTTTCATACACCAGAGCATAGTTCTCAAAATGTTTGGTTCTTGTGTTATAGTGCCAACTTTGTAAAAAAAACCATGTGACATTCTTTATTGTGAGTTAGTGTAAGTTGTGGGCTCCTTTGTTTCTCAAAGAAGCTGAAGGAACAGCCCAAGAACAGCCTTCCACTGCTGTCATCCTGTGTGAAAAAAGCTCCAATAAAATATTCGTGGGCTCCTTGTGGGCTCGATTATATATCTAAAATCGCTCATCAAATGTCTTGTAACAAACACTAGCGCACACACCAAAATCTTGAAGCGGCCTAGCATTTTGTGGGTACGCCGTTTTAGATCATGTCCCGTCCGAGCGATCTCACCAGGGTTAACCTGGTGGTGTGTACTTAAAAAGATGTCCCCAGTCTACATGCAGCTCAGCGCAGGACGCCCTACAACTTCGTACATCGCAACGCTGGACCGGTGCAAAAATGAAATTCTTTACATCCCTCTTACTTGGTGTTTCTTTGACCAATTTCTTCGTGTCTGCGTTACCATTCTCTGGTCCGTCTTCAAGTTCCGAGTCCAATATCGCTGAAAGGGAGGACACACAACTCTTGGCTCGTACTGTATGTACCCCTTTTCGAATAGTTCCCGTCTTTGCTGATATCGCGATTGATACCAAATTTATTATCATAAAGGACCGTGACGATTTTGCGAAACATGGAACGTATAACAAGAAGGATGTGGTCAAATTTGTCAAAAAGATCCCTTTGGCGAAATTGAGCGGCTTCGGCGATTCTACTCGAGTGATACACTCGGTTGACGAAAACAATAAACCGGCCAGAAACCGAGAAGAGAAACAAGACAGTGGGGTGAGCGACACTTTTCCTTTGCCATAATACCCATCTCATTTGTCTCTCTGTTAGTTCCGGCTTGACAACCAAGGGAAGACTTGCCCGGGGGAGGACTACCACAATCTTCAGGTGCAGATAAATGGTCAGGTCAAAGGCAAGTCCACTGTTGGCGGTATCCTTGTAAAAGGTGATATGAGCCCCAAACGTGTAATTATATTTCCAGATACTGATTGAGAAAGCGCTGAAAATATTTCTCCTGTTTACAGGTTCGGGCGAAACTTATACACGCAGTCATGCACCCTGACAAAGTGCGTCAATATGCCAAGGGTGAGCCCAAGCGTAAGGCGCAAGCCGGACACTCACCTGACAAGTCGCGAAAACGTCCGAAAAATGGAAATAAAGGTCCGAAAGGTGGAAATAAACCGAAAAGTGGAAAGGCCAAGCACAAGTAGATTGCGATGAGATAGTACATATACCAAGATGCATACACTGGCTTATGTAGACAATGAAAAGTTTTCATTTTGTCGAAGAGCAACATTGGAAAAAAATATCGAGGCTTGTCGTTTACTCCAAAGTCTTCAAGATGAAGCCGGGAGACGAGATTAGAACAAAGCCTAGAAGGGCGAGGAAGATGCAGAAGAAAGCTCAAGGGCATGACGTGGCAGAGAGGATGGAATCAAGCACCGACGGGAGGCATCCGTGCTATGCAGAGCCGATAGAAGGACGAGAACATACTGGATGATAAACGTACGTCCACCACTGAGCCATAGTGTTCACTCTTTCGTCCTTGAGAACTTCGGCGCGTGTAGAGTGAGTAACCTCAGCCTCACAAGTTTTCCGCGCCTACCTTCTTCGAAAGGGTTCCTGGATTGAGGGTGAATGTTAGTCGTAGAACAGGAGGAAATATTTGCCGTATAAGAATATTCGCCGTGGCCGAACGATCCAAACTGTTGTGGGGGGGAATAGGTCGGGACGAAAGAGGCGGATCGAGGAGACTTGACTCATCATCATATGATACTGCTTTGTCGTGGATCAAGCTGATCGCAAGAGATCTGAGATAAAAAGGAGAAGAGGAAACGTGAGAAAAGACATCCTAGAGGGAATCAAAAGAAAGATGGTGATTTGGATGTGCTACACACCAGCTGATGCGGGAATTCGAACAATGGAACCCTCTTCCTTCCCGTTCTCGCGTCATTTAGCGTGCTCTGCCAGCTTGAATGGCTTAGCCAAATTTATCCTGATATCAGCGCTAAATGACCCACCTGAGCCTGACCGAACCCAGCTTCTTCCCATCCTGGTGTTTAGTTTCACCGTAAATTGTGCCAAAACACAGAGTAGCTGCAATACATATATGATTAATTCCTGATGTCGGATGGACGGTATACACAGACTTACTTCATTGAGTGTATCCCATCCAATCCCCATTTGTATTTGGAGTCGTTGAATTAGTATCAGTCTAAGAGGGAACTGGAAGAAAGATTGAAGAAAATTGATTGATGCGTTTGCAACTGTGTTGACGAAAGATGACGTCACTCAAAGAAACGCAGAAAGCCGCGTTTGGTAACAAGCAACATCCGGCGAAATTCCATCTCAAATTGATTTAGGTAGGTTATGTTCAAGGGTAACAAGAAGGAGTTACTTGCATCAGATATGAAACTAATCCTAGGTATCTGGCAGCAGAAGACAAACTTGCTTCGCAGTAACTTCACAACATCAAACCACTGCCCAGTAAACCCACCTTCCTCGCCGTGGCGCGAGATCCCCTAAAGCGTCGACGAACAAAGATCCACAGAACAAACAGCACAGCAGCGAAGCCAGCAACGTTGACAACACCAGCTGTCACATTTCCACTAGCACGAGCACGCGCCGAGTCCAATGCGTTCGCAACGCTTGCAAACGGCGCCAATCCACCAACACCCAAATCCATCGCTCCAAGCTCGAAAATCCGTTTGGCCACAACCCCAAATGTCTCTCCTCTCCCCTCACCCACGCTCAACGGCTCAACCGCACCTCTACACCCCTTCAGACCCCCATTCCGCGCAATCAACACCGCAGCACCCATCGTCCAGCTCGCACGTTCCTCCATCTCTCTCCCATTAGGAAACTTCAACATTCCTTTCAAAACTTGCACCTTATCCATCCCAAACCCACTCTCGTCATCATGTAAAACCGTCAACATCCACGCTGCCTTGAAACACCACGCGTGGCTGAACTTGGTTACTTCTCCATCGAAGAATCCCGTGCAGTACCGCTCCACAGCTGCCGTGAACAGTCTTCGGTTGTAAGGTTCCGAAACAAGATACCCCGCCCCAGGCTTCGCCGCGAAAAAATCGTACGTATACTGCAGATTCGCGACGCCGATAAAAAGGTTCGAGGTTTCTTGGACGAATGGGTAATAAGGCATCGGCGGGCTCTTTTTCGCGCCTTGCGTTAAGATCCGTTTGGCGAGTGAGAGGCAGGTCCGGAAGTCGCCTGTCCCGATGATCCCTTTGATATGTGCATCGGGTGCACCGCGCGGAAGACATGGGTTCCCAACGCTGTCACCAGCGGCACGGGCCTCGTTCCAGATGATATTCCTCAACTCCGCATAAACGGAATCAGCCCCGAACCCATCCCACGTCTCCGAATAAACTTCATCGGCGGCACCTCCTTTCGCAATGCAAACCTTCGCATTCCCACCCCCCGTACCCGTTAAATGCCTCCCAGCACCATAAGCAATCTGGACGCTAGCCCCACCGACCTCAAACAACCCCTGCTTCCGCTCATCCCCATAATTCAACGCAACCCACCCAAGCACGCCCTCCGTCCTCCCACTTATAACTCTAACATTCTCCTCCCTCGTCCCCGCATCAAACAACGGGAACTTTTGCGCGTCACTCAGCACTTGGTGGGCCTTTTGCAGGAGGGGAAGTTGGGAGGTCTCCGAGAGGAGGCGCATGCCGCCTGTTGCGAGGAGGTAGACTGGGACGCTTGATTCTTGAGATGAGGAGTTGATGACTCGGAGGAAGGAGTGTGCACCCTCGAGAAGGAGGATGAGGTACGATTCCGTTTTTTCAGGTGTCATTTTTGCGAAACCTTTCATACCAGGTCAATCAGATTTGCCAACTTCAAACTCGAACGTAAAAACAAAAAAACCAACCAGGCGTGCGTTCAAGTACCACCGACCCGTTCTTCTCTTTCGCCAGTGCCTCTTCATCGGGGTACACTTTGGTGACTTTTAGATTCTCGTCTCCCTGGCTGGCGTCCCAGCTATACACGTATACACGCGTCGCGGAGGATCCTGCGTCTAGGACGGTCGCGTATTTGAGTTTTGATGGGGAAGGTGAGGGGGGGAGGAGGGTTAGGGCGGATGACATTGTCGCGTGAGAGGTCGTGTCCAGATAACTTGTGTAGAATCACTTATGTTGCGGGGGGGAATACTGTTGGTATTTATGCAAATCGGAGCCCGTCATGATCCAGGGATGAAGGGCCCTGGTTTGTATAAATTAAATGAATTTGCCGTACCGGAGGAGGAAAAAGCCCGGTGACGGTACCTACCTAGGCACGTCGGAATTGCGCACAGGCACCACGAGCTCGACGCGTCCATTCGATTCTTTAACGCATGTTCATAAGGCAAGGTATTGTTTGAGGGTCTGGGAACTTGAAGAGCCCCAAACGTCTCGATGGACAACTTCACAGGACCCAGATCTACAGTGCAAAACCCCTTGCTACATCGGTACCAAAAGTTCTCCTATGGGACAATCATCATTGTCGTCACTGTACCATCGAGTCACTCGATTAATATCATAACAGACCAAAGTTACCCCGCAAGGCTTTCTTTGGCCTGGTATTTCCCGCCGGAAAGCAAGACACGGAAATCGAGCTTGGGTCTGGGAGCGTGTGTTATTTTACGCGCAACGGGAGTCCATGATAGCAGACGGAGAGTCGACGCTGGTAGATAGGTGGTGGAGTTGGTTTGAAGTTCTGGAAATTCCTGGTCTGACGTTAGTCCCACATAAGATGAAGCGAAATGCGAAGACGAATCTTACAATGGATTTCCCCGTTACCACCTTGGTAGAGCTTGGTATGTAGATAGTCGAGTTTTTGAATCGTGGTTGAATTTGACAAGCCGGACAAACTTCTTGACCTCGTGCATTCGGTTTCTGCTGCTAGCTTGGCGTTGTTTCAAATAGACGCGTTGATGAAGGTACGTCCATTATTATCATTCTTGAGTTCTAGGCACAGTACGTCTCCTGACACACCCTGCCTGGTGTTCGAGCACAGGCCCAAGCACAAGCATTACACCTTGCATCAGCAAGTTGGGGGGTGGCGTGGTGACTTCGAAAAGAAGGGTGTTGAAAGTCAGGGAGGCGTTGGGAGCAGTAGAGGACGAAGGACACAAGGTACTTGCGAGAGTCATTTCCTTGTGGGACATTTGACGCCAGCGCTGTAGATTCAGTTCTCCGACGCCGCAGGGGCCACGGGTTGGGGGTGTTGGCTTCGAGCAGTGCATGAGGATTAGGTGCCGCTCGCAATCCATCTTTACCTGCTTTTGACGGAAAAGAGACCCGAACAATTGGAGGGAACGAATCGCTGCAACAACGTCAACATGTAGTACTACTCTCATGACAGAGGTAACTGTTGTACTCACCTCCTCCCAACTCGATGTTCATGTGAAGTGCATCAAGCTACCAATATACACCACCACCAGCAGGGATATAGGGGGGAGACACCAATGGTCGTGCAATTCTCGTACGCTGTAAGCTGTACAGGGTAGTTTGGAGATACGACGTCGTTGAAGCATGGAGTTCATGCAGGTAGGCGGCTGATCGAGATGACTGGTATCTTTAAAACCTTGGTTCGACGGCAGTGTGTCGGGCAGGATAGTAACGGGTCCTTTGAGCTTGTAAAGAGCGAGAAAGTTGCGGAAACGTCGAGTGGAGTGCCATTGTGTGCTGTAATTGTCATCGAGTCAGCCAAGTAAACGACAGATACGGAGTCAGAGCCTGACGCACCTTGACTCTGGAAAACATTCTCCTATTTGGAACATCGCGAGAGCAGTGGCACGAGTAGTTGGCAAGGTGGTGGTGGTTGAACGTTGAACTCTGGAGGTTTGTTTGGCGGCAACTCACATCACAACCTCAAGAAAGTTACGGGGGAAAGGTAAGTAAGTACTTGGTCCTACGCACAACCTAGTACTTAATAGTCAGAGGTAACAGTGTAACCAACACCTCCCAGACCAGAACGTTCGAGAGAGCCGACGCCTCACGCCCGTTGGTCGTTCTCTCGCTCTATTCGTCCACCTCTCCACCTTCTCCACCATCAACTCCGGCGTTGCGTACTCGAGCATGCCTCACGATGGTCTTCCAGCCTACGGCACCACTGCCCCATTGGACTTGTCCAAACTCCGCTCGTTCGTCGCCTGTGTTTGCCATTCCTCCTCAAAAATTTCAAAGCGGTGTCGACGATACAGAGCTAGTTCAAAGGGTTCGAGTTCAGCGTCACAGAGGTCGTTGCTGATGCGATGTCAGCCGAGGAATTTATCTTACACTTCCAACCAACGTCGGTGGAGAGACCTCCTTAGGAAGACGGCGACTTGAGGGGGTCGTTATAAGGCGCCAGGCAAGACCTCGACCTTGTGGAGGCCGACTGAATTCGCACTATCGGCTCGTGGATGGCAGGAACCTCGTCCAATCCATCATCCATTTCCGTCACGAGCCATCTTCCACCAGACAAATAGGCGTGTTGCTGATGCAAAGGTAAAGTTTGAGGAACTGCAAAGGTTGGCTGTCGTTGACCGTGGTCCGTTAGTTTCATTGAGCAGAAAGAGTGGGCGAATGGGTGTGTGCCAAGGGAATACGCTTGGATTTCAGTGCAGCCAGCTGGGTAAATAATCGTTAGCTATCGCAGGATTGGAAGCGAAAATCATATGAACTCACTCGACATCCTCCATCAGGCAAACCGATTTAATTAAAGCACGGCCAATGTGAGGACTCAATATATTGGCACTCGAACACGACCTGCTGAGCCATGCAGCAACTCTGTTTTTCAAAGAAAAAAAGACTTTGCAGCTATGAAAATGGATATTTAGAGAAGGGCGAACTCGACGATGATTCGGTCACTCACTATGAGAGCTCGTGGCGCCAAAAAGATTGTCAAGACGAAAAAAAGAGCCGTGTAGATTGAGGAGACTTCAAGACACCGCACAGAAAAACATGCCATGACCACTAAGGTCAGCCGAGGTTCCCGCGTTCGTCGAGTATGCTCTGCCTATCAGCAGTCCAATAGGCGCGTTCGGCGCTGACAGAAGACTTCATTCTCTGGTCGTGAGCCCTGTAGGTGTCATAGTACAGACTCACCAACACAATAGAAAGTCGAGCCCACTCACCAAAGACACTGGTAAGCCGCCAAAGACTGAGAAAGACGAAGGCAAGGACTTGAAGAAGTCTGGAACGCCCAGGCATGTATATAAAAATAGACACAGGCACACGTTCCCCTGGGAGCTCAGGCTGACAGGCTAGGAGTTCCTGGGTTTGGGCGCTGTCCTTTGTTGCCCTCCCTCATCCTGAACCTCCATCTTCGATATCTCAACATGGGATCAATCTAACCAGAAACCCCCTTTTCGCGTGGAACCCTGGGTTTCTTCTGCATTTGGTAGAAATCCCCCTTCCATCAGTCGATGGGTTATTTTGAGGAACCCCATGTCGGAGTTAAATTCCTAGATGCCGACGCGTGCCGCGCTCAAATTTAAATTGATCTTGGCTCCCCGGGTCATGATGAGAAGAGAGCGCGACGAGTTGAACTCCATCATGCACATCCCTTGTCGCACACGTATCGTCGCGCGATACGACGCGCCCACTCTACAAGTGGTTACCACGGTAAATAATATTGGTTCATGGTCTACACGATGCTACAAGATGCAAACAAGATGAGGGTTTGGACGGGTAGCTATACTTACATAGATGTAGGAGAGCGGGAGTGGTTTAGGGATGCCACTGCTCCCTTCCATAGTCCCTTGCTACTTGAAAGGTTGATGACCCCGCCGCCAACTTGAACTTATGCATGTGCATGTGGTGGACTTCAAATATTCTGAGCTCCGCTTCTTGTGGAAACAAGGTTTCTACGCAAGCACTTTGGAAACCCTGGGTTGTTCAGGGGAAACCAGGGTTTCTGGATAGTTTAATCCCTCAACATGAGCGGAGCGAGCTTCTTCGCGGGCGCTCACCGCTTTGTCGCTAGCAACAGCACATTCATTGAAGCTGGGACTGTGAGTGGAGTGTTTTCTAAAGGTATCTGTCAAGCAAGCTGATGGCGTCGGGATCTGTCACGGTTGCAGGTCAACATCCACGGCAATAGGACGACATCCGATGGGGTCATTCCCCTTCCGCCAAATCCGAGCATTCGGTTCACAGGGCGTACAGAAGCCATTGCCAAACTCAAGAGGCATTTTTTTACCGACACAAATGAGAGCACTCAGTTCACAGGACATACTACAAAAGCCATTGCCAAACTCAAGAGGTATTTTTTTACCAACACAAGTGATGCAGGTCACAAGAGAAAGTTTTTCCTGTTATATGGAATGGGGGGTATTGGAAAGACTCAGATTTGCTTAAAGTTTATTGAGGAAATGAATGGCAGGTGAGCACCTATCAAAAATTAGTCTCACCCTGCTGCAATAATATTGAATTGCCCCCAGCTTCTCTCAAGTTTTCTGGGTTGATACCTCCTCCTTGGGTACTGTCATGCAGGCACTTGAGGCTATTGGTCAGTCTTGTGGGTTGGATTGCTCACCTGAGTCTGCTCTCCAGTGGATTGGCTCTCTGAAGGAAAACTTTATCATGATCTTTGATAATGCTGATGTTCTGTCACCTGCTTCACTGGAGGTGTATTTCCCACCTGGAAGGAGGGGGAACATTCTGATAACTAGTCGTAATTCTGCCATGATGACTCTGACTTCACCTAGGAATTCTCTTGAAGTGACTGGAATGGAAGAAAGGGATGCTATTGAACTACTTCTGAAAGCAAGTTGCTTGGAATCTACAGTAAATGTTCAAATTCGAGCATCTAAGATTGTAAAGGAGCTCTTCTGCTTTCCTCTTGCTATTGATCAAGCTGGTGCTTACATTGCTTCTGGGGCCACCACTATTGGAGAGTACCTTGCAAAATATTCAGAGCACCAAAAAATGCTATTATGCCATTCTGAATTTACTGGAGCTTCTAGGTATAATAGAACTGTCTATGAAACTTGGGAGGTATCATATAAAGAAATTCAGCAAAGGGCTGAATGTGATGATTCTCACAAGTCTAATGCAGCCAATAGTGCGATGCAACTTCTGGAATTATTTCCTTTCTTCCATCATGAGGGAATAACTGAGGAAATCTTTTCTTATGCTGCCCTTCCAGAAGATAATGAACCTTCTACATCAGATTTCCCTCTTGCCAGTTCACTGCTGGACCGAAGACTACTTCCTCTTGGTGAGACAGGCACTTGGGATAATTTCATCTTTAGAGAGGGGATTCGAAGATTGCTGTCTTTCTCTTTGATTATAAAGGGCCCATCTGAAACTGTATATGCCATGCATCCTTTAGTTCATACCTGGGCCAGGGACAGATTGAGTTTGAATGAGAGGAAAAAATGTTGCTTAATGGCATATGTCACCTTGGCTTGTTCACTCAAATGGAAGGCAGACCAGCCATATGGATTCCAGAGGACCTTGGCAATACATGTCAGAGCAAATATGGAGTATTTGAAATCAGAAGGTATTGTTAGTTACATAGATGATGCATATGCAAAGTTTGGGAAGCTATTGCAAGAACAAGGATTTTCAAAGGAAGCGGAAATGTTGCAGATTAGAGTTCTGGATAAAAGGTTCAACATTCTTGGAGTGGAACATCCAGATACAATTTCTGCCATGGCAAGTCTTGCGTCAACAAATGGAGACCTGGGAAAATACATGGAGGCAGAGGTGTTAAAGGTCCAAGTTCTGGCTGCAAGAAAAGAAATTCTTGGATTGAAACACATAGATACAATTCTTGCTATGGGAAGTCTAGCATCTACATATAGAGACCTGGGAAAATACAATGAGGCAGAAAAACTGGAGATCCAAGTTCTGGACACAAGGGACAGAATTCTTGGAGTGGAACACCCAGACACAATCAGAGCCATGGCAAATCTAGCAGCAACATACCACGACCTAGGAAAATACACAAAAGAAAAAACCCTGGAGATGCAGGTTCTGGATGCAGGAAACAAAATTTTTGGAGTGGAACATCCAGATACAATCAATGCCATGGCAAATCTAGCATCTACATATAGAAGCCTGGGAAGATACAAAGAGGCAGAAAAGCTGGAGATCCAAGTTCTGGATGCAAGCAACAGAATTCTTGGAGAGAACCATCCAGACACAATGTTTGCCATGGCAAATCTAGCATCTACATTGAGAAACTTGGGGAAGTACAAAGAGGCAGAGAAACTGGAGATTCAAGTTCTAGATGCAAGGAACAGAATTCTTGGAGTGGAACACCCAGACACAATCAGTGCCATGGCAAATCTAGCAGTAACATATGGAAGCTTGGGAAAGTACACAGAGGCAGAGAAGCTGGAGATTCAAGTTCTAGATGCAAGGAACAGAATTCTTGGAGTGGAACACCCAGACACAATCAGAGCCATGGCAAATCTAGCAGTAACATATGGAAGCTTGGGAAAATACACAGAGTCAGAGAAGCTGGAGATCCAAGTTCTGGATGCAAGGAACAGAATTCTTGGAGTGGAACACCCAGACACAATTTTTGCCAACTCAAATTTAGCAGTAACATATGGTAACCTGGGAAAATACGCAGAGGCAAAAAAGCTGGAGATTCAAGTTATGGATGCAAGGAGCAGAATTCTTGGAGTGGAACACCCAGACACAATCAATGCCATTGCAAATTTAGCATCTATGTATAGAAATTTTGCAAAATATAAAGAGGCAGAGTGGTTGGAAATCCAAGTTCTGGATGCAAGGAAGAGAATTCTTGGAGTGGAACACCCAGACACAATTTTTGCCAAGGCAAATCTAGCAGCAACATATGGTAACCTAGGAAAATACACAGAGGCAAAAAAGCTGGAGATTCAAGTTCTGGATGCAAGGAGCAGAATTCTTGGAGCGGAACACCCAGACACAATTTTTGCCATGGCAAACCTAGCATCTACGTATAGAAACCTAGGAAAATGCAATGAGGCAGAAATGCTGGAGATCCAAGTGATGGATGCAAGGAAGAGAATTCTTGGAGTGGAACACCCAGATACAATTTTTGCTATGGCAAATCTAGCAGTAACTTATGGAAGCCTAGAAAATACACAGAAGCAAAAAAGCTGGAGATCCAGGTTCTGGATGCAAGGAAGAGAATTCTTGGAGTGGAACATCCAGACACAATTTTTGCCATGGCAAATCTAGCAGCAACATATCATAGCCTGGGAAAATACATAGAGGCAGAGGAACTAGAGACTCAAGTTTTGCATGAAAGGAGCAGAACACTTGGAGTGGAACACCCCCATACCATTTTAGCCATGGAATACTTAGCAGTTACCTTTAGAAGTCTGGGAAAGCATGAAGAGGCAGAGAAGCTAGTTCTCCAAGCTCAGGAAGTCCAAAGTAGAGTTCTTGGAGCAGAATTCCACTGTGCAACTGCTACTGTGATCAATGTTGAAGATGCACAGGAAAGTTAGCTTCTCAATGAAGCAACTCACTCCCTCAAGAAGAAAGCTCAGTTATAAGTGCATGTTTGTTTTATGCACATAAATTTGGACTTCCACAACATTATATGGCTATGAAAATCTTTTTTGGTTTCACACCACAAGCATCCCCTACAGCTACATTCAATTTCATGGATGTCCATTCCTTTGCATTTGCACCATTCCAGAGGAATTGTTTGACCTGTCTGAACATCTGTACTATGCAAAACTG